GGATTACCATGCAGGTTCTGGTGAACCTGGTAGCGGTTCTTTTTTGCACTACTAACTCTTGTTTGTATATCAAACCACGTGGCATATCGTGACAGAGTAGAAAAGAATGTATACGGGATGTCAGCGTGACGTCGACGCAGTACGGGAAGCAAGGTCGCGCGGTCGATACGATACTCCCCCGCCGTCGCTATTCGCACCCTACCACCAAATAGATCTAAAATGCGTTTCTTTCTGCGCATTTAAGGTCATTGTTCAAAATGCTTACAAGTGCCGTGCAAGTCAAAGACCTTTGGATCGAATTTGTTTACCGCTATTAAATAAAAAATAGGAATTTATGATATTTTGTTTTTTTCGATTTTTTTTTTTTGTGATTTGAGTTCAATTTCGGATGCATAAAGACCTCTGTAAATATGGCGAGAATGCAAATCAACACATTGTATAAAAACTAAATTTAAATGATTTCACAGTAGCGAAAAAACCTTTGTAATGGCTCTATTGTTTCATTCAGTAACTTCAACTTTCGACAGATGTCAACGTTAAATGTGGAAAATTAAAGGAAAAATATTGGAAAAATAACCGAAAAAATATGATGTTTTTCGTAATAGAAATTTTCCATGACGTAAGTTGCACCCTTTTTCATTTCGATAGCAGTATATGTGAAGTGATTCAGATCCAGAACAATAATAATCCTATGATCACATAAACACCCAGTGTGGATTACATTGACAATAATGCATTCAAATTTAGCGCTATATATATTCTATAAGACCATAGAGTAGAAAAATACGTAAAATGTAACTACATATATACAGGCGAACCGCTTAGTAGTCCTGAGGTAGCTGCGCGATGCGGGAGATTACGTAACATTATGTCGCGCTGCACACGGGATTATTTCAGCAAGATTTTTCTGACGATACTCAATAAGCAATTGTTTGAAAAAAGTTGAAAAGGTTAGCCCCGTTATGGCAAAGTCACTGGTTCGAATCCAGCCGGATATAAGGAATTTTTCTTTATTAAGTGACGGGACGAACAAGTCGTGCGCCTGATGGTAAGTAACGCGCCTGTCCATAACAGTGCCACTCAGAGCTTTAAATCGCAAAGATGGGCATTGCCACTGCGCCCGTCACCCTGAGACATAAGTTGACAAGTCCCATGTGCCCGTAATTACCCTTACCCTTCAAAACCGGAACACAGTAATGCTGACTTTACTGCTTGGTGGCGGAAATAGGAAAGGTGGCAGTACTTCCCTGGACGAAATCATTCACAATAATCTCTACTGCTACTAAATTAAATATTATACAATGATAAGTCAAAACCTTCCTTTCCAGGGCTTAGTGGATTGTCCAATCAAGTTCCTACATGACGAGTTCAAAAATAACATCGTTCGGATACCAGAATGGAATCCGACCATACTTCAGAGTGAATTTATAAAAGTAAGTGACACTGTATGTATATCAACGATTGAATACAGCGGTTTTTTAATAATCTACTACCTAATCTTCGATTTGATTTTAGAGGGGTATATCCACTTTAAAGTTAAACATAAAATATTGTATGAGTAACTACACGATATATTCAAGCATAGACACTAATCAGAAGCATAAAACAATAAAGTTTCCTCGATAGATAAAAATCAAGAAATGACCTCTAATTTTCACATTTTTTCGATTCATCCTCGAAATGCTACAGGTGATTAGGAAAAAAATTAGATAATTAATTATATTTATGCATGATCGAGAACTGTCACTACGGATTTTTTTTTAATCCCTTTAGTTTTAGAGTTATTCCGCTAAAACGAATTTGGTACTTTTAATGCGCAAAATTCAACATCGTATCGCATGCCACGCGAACTTCAGGCATATATTTGTCTCACAAATGTGGGCGGAGCCAACGTCAAAACTTTTTTAGCATGCTCCCTCTTAAGTAAGTTTGAGTGTTTTTTATGGTGAAAATTTTTAAGAGTCGTGTTTTCACACCGTATCGTAATCAGTGTATATATTCAATATTACTTTTTTTCCAAAGTGTAGGTAGTACATTTAAGGTAGTACAGATTCTTAAGTTAAATTTAAAAAAAAAATCTTTCATTCTCAGGGTCGTACTCTAGAACTCTAGTCAATGCTCAAGTTAGGATTGCACTGGCAACGCAAGCACTGGAAATACGACCCTTATGGCAAGGACTTGAGTATGATTTTCAGTGCTTTAAATCATACTCAAGTCCTGACTTGAGCATTGAGTAGAGTTCTGGAATACGACCCTCAGACACAGTAAGGTCCATGGTCGGTCAGAAATAGTAAACTTAAATTATATTAGTATTAATTGATTATAGGGATATGAATATATTAGAAATTTAAATCTTCAAAATCTTAATGTCAAAACTTACTATTCTTTAGAATATATAAATAATCAACTGAAATTTCTAGATTAATAATACATATTATCAGAATTAAAATTAGCTGGATTCCCAAAGAAATAAAATAACAATAATTATTAAGCAGTACACAATTAACATTACATACATTACAGTTATAATTGTTATAAGACATAAAACGTAATAATAAGGTACCCTACTTTTATTGACTATTTTTTTTTTGTGCTAGATGCATCTTTGCATACAATGAGCTATGATTTATTTATTTATTTATTCAATGAACAAAGTTTCAACAGCATTCTTAAACTTATTTGACAAATGTGTTTAAGCAGTACAAAAGCCAGTTACAAAACATGTGATATTATTATTACAACATTGGGTAGAAAAATAAATTTAAATTGGTACAATAAAAACTGAGTTCATAACTAACTGTAATTTACTGATATCAATTGTCGTGTGTAGGTCTGTGTAAGTATATGTGTGTATATGTGATGGAGCGTGAGTGTCTAGTTCGCCTCCCCCTATTTCCTCAGAGAATGTGCTAGACAGGTAAAACTAACAAAGAAAGAAACTGCTCGCATCGTTAGTGCTTGCAACTCGGCTTACATGGAGCACGAAATCGACGCAAATAAAACTGTTTAAGAAAATAATTTAAAGTAAAATGGATCAATTATAGTAATTGAGTTAAATATTCAAATAAAGTTAAATATTCAAATAAATTATATAAAGTTAACGTTGGTAGGCGAATCATATCGTCTTGCTATCACCCTCAGAATGGAATTGGACCTAGCCCGTAGTCTGCAGAGTAGCGAGGCAGTTTTCTTACGATGGCATTAATATCATTTAATATAATAATGAAATAAATTTATCTTTAATTCTAAATTCCAGGAAATAGCAGATGGCATTGACCTCACATACCAAGTAACAGCAGGCGGGGGCCGCGGTATAATATCACCGCGAGACTTCGTCAACTTGCGCCGCGTTGCTCCAATGACCAAGGACGGTCGCGTCACTGATGGCGAGCCTTATTGCTACGTCATTTCCGCAATTAGTGTTAAGGTACCTGATTACCCGCCACGTTCTGATATGGTTAGGTAAGTTAGCATTTGTCACTTTTCGTCTAAGCTAGGGTTTCTTGATCCCTGGACCCCTCTTAAAATTTCAATAATCTTAATACAGAGTACTAAAAAACCCGACCTCAAAAATTCGTGGAATTACATCAATTTGCCAAGTTTTATAGAAATTGGTTACCGGAAAGTGCGGGTCACCGTCGCATTGATTCGTCCCTTAGTTTTGGTAAACTCTCTTAGAGATGGAATATTTTTTTCAAGTTTAAATGGTTTATTGAGGTACCACCCTCTTTCCAACAAAAAATAATCATTAGAATCGGTTCACAAATGCCGTTAAATTAACGCGTAACATACATACACAAAAAAAATACAGATGAATTGAGAACTTCCTCCTTTTTTGAAATCGGTTAATGAGACAAACTTCTTGTGAGTTATACTTCGTTTCAATCCATTTTAAACAAAAAGTAAACAAACAAGTCTCTGACCTGACATTGACGGTTTAGTGATGGCCAATTGTAATGCAAACTAAATATCGATTAAATAATTGAATGAATCGATTTGTTAAATTGAGTTATACTAGCGGTTTTCCTTAAATGAATAGTAAACGTACATAACCTATAAAAGTATATATTTAAAATTCTCCTTCAAATATTTACAATTAGATACTCGTTCGATTGCGATTGAAATTTTCGATTTACCAATCGATTACAAAAACTTTAACTGAATGAACGGAAAGTTCTTTTTTGTACAGCACTATGCAACCATAGACAAGTCATAGAAGTATAGATGAAAAATAACCTCACTTTTCAACAACCTTGTTTCAAATACGATTTTACGATGCTATTCAAGCGAATATTGTTGGAAAAAGTCATGAGATATCAAGTAGAAATCTTCGAAATATATGTGAAAGTACATTTCGAAGTTATTTTTTAATAAATTTGGCAAGTAATTTTTATTATTATGTCTGTAATAAACTTGAACCTGTACATATATTTTAATGATCTTTCACGGGAAGCGAGTAATTAGTTTTTCATCTATTCTGGAAGAAATACACTTTTCGAGTTAATACACTATTGCATTAACAGTGTTTTAAATTATGAATTGTATCCGTAAATACCTGAGAAAATTAATAATTGAATGTCAATTCAATATAAATTTAAATACAGTGAATAGCGACATCGCTAGCCGGGGCTGGTAGGTGTAAAGGTATCTAATTGGGTGACGAAATACTTTCATGGGTTTCTCATAGATGGCGCTACGGCTAAAAAGTCGTTGAAAAACCATGGCACATCAGACTACAGATTTTTGTTCGAAAATCGCCTCCATTGCAACGGAATAAGATACGTCAATGTGTAGCTTGATGTGCTGGCGTGTGTACAAACACACGACAACAATCACATAGAAAAATTCGTGAGGTCCGCTGGTTCGTCCCGTGACTTACTTGGTATAGCGTCTGTCACGGTATGCTAGAAGACGTCAATCGAAGGATTTTTTTCTAAGTGAATTATAACAAAGTAGTGGACTAATTTCACATAAAAATTAATTGAATATTAATTCAAAATAAATGAAAACTGTTCTGTATTATCCAAAATGTCATTTGACTGTATTGTAATAATTTACATCATTTTTTACATTTAATTTTATCTATATTACAATGTGTATGGGACTGGTGTTTCGAACTAGCGCGAGGAATAAAAATCTCTAGTATTGAAGCCAAACGAATTAAAAAAACAAGGTGGAATACAAAAAAAACTAAATGTACCTTATTTTCTAAAATTTAAACTATATTATTTTAAACAATGAGCGCGTCGCTAACTGTGTAAGCATACTAAAAATAATATATTTTTCGATTTTTTACAGGGGTAACAACAAAGTAAGCTGTTGGGTATTGAAACCAAAGTCAGTGCAGCTGCCTGACGGCAGGATCGTGCAAACTACAGTCTTCCAGTGGCTACTGTGTTGTGACCTTAAAGGTGAGTGCTGTGACGTATTATCAAAAAATAACAAAACATAATCATTATCATACGCAGTACTAATAAGATTGTAACAATACAGGTACCCTTATTTATAAAATACTAGCAACCTCACAGGAATACATTACTAACATCATGAACAACGACTTTTGGAATAAGAACTTTTAATAATTAATCAAGTTTTACTTTCGAAGAAAAGTACATTGTGTATTATGGACGATAAATAAGAAATTACTAATTAGAAGCCCGAAGCCAAATGCTGAAGGCTTTCGTAACTCGAGTTTTTTTTATTTTTTACCGTCCATTCGTGTTGCATACAATGTTTTTCATGACATTTGCGATTTGAAATAAATATAATATAAATATGGTTCACAACGCAACAATTATGGATTTGGCAAATGGCGGGCTTTTGTTTTTTTTTTTAATTGTTCCATAGATAATAAATACAACTCGAACTAAAATGTTGTAAAAAGCGTGCATACAGCCATGATGGATTGTAAAAACATATTTGCTACATTTTTATACAGAAAATAATGAAATAAATTATTTAAATTCTTAATAATAAGTAATTTAGGTAGTATGTGGCTGAATTTCAATCTCAATTTCTGTTTAGATAACATTTGAAGCTAATGTTTTAGTTTTGAACTTAAGTAACCTCCTTGCTTGAACTTGAGCCTGACCTACGTAAGGAAGTACGTCGTGCTAAAAATGACAAAAAAACTCCTTACCGACCATGGTTGTAATAGGTTACTATTTGGGGCATTATAGTCAAGTTAGCCTGCATACAATCATACTACACACATCAAAAGTGTCTAGGGGGATCAAGTGAATATTTTTGAAATAAAAATTATTTAAGCAATATTTACCAAATCCAGTCTTCCAGGACGACTTCTTACTTTAATGCTTATGTTTTATTTAACCGCTTACCCCTATATTTAGTTAAAATAAACTAAAATTGATGTTTTTGCAAATTGTGGGAAAAAACTCAAATTAACGGCGTCAATTAAATGACAAAAAAATGGTGAAAATGATGATTTTGCTCATTTTTATTGTAAAGATAAGAAAATTAATAATCTGTATTTCCACCATTAACACGAATCACACAATTACAGCGATTTGGCATGCTTAAGATGAGTTCATCAAAATCACTTTGAGGAATGGCCGCCCATGTGTTTTGTAACAAGTCAAAATATTGTTGTAGAGTATGTACGGTATGCATACTCGGCACAGCTCTTCTTTGAAGCATATCCCATGCGTGCTCAATTGGATTGAGGTCTGGCGACTGAGCAGGCCACGGCAGAACGTTGATACGAGCTTCGGCATGAATGCGTGTTACGACTCTAGCCGTGTGTGGACGTGCGTTGTCATGCATTAGTTGAAATGAATCACCCAACTGGCCTCGCAAAGGGATGATAACATCTGAAACAATCCTCTCTGCGTAAACTTGAGCATTGAGATTACCCCTGATCCAAATGAGATCGGTTCTTCCGCCGATCCAAATACCGGCCCATATCATTATTGTTCCCCCACCATATGGATGAACTTCCTGACAATATCTCAAACGTTCATGACGCCCAGATGTTCTCCAAACTCGAGTACGTCTTGTATCCGGTCTCATACCGAAGCGGGATTCATCCGAAAAGCACACATAGCGCCAGTCTTCTTCCTCCCAGTTTCTGTGTTCGCGAGCCCATCGTAAACGGGTCCTGCGATTGCAGGGTGCAATAGGTGGAACTCTGAGCGGCCTTCGGGATCGCAGACCCACTTCACGTAAACGATTTCGGATTGTTTGATCGCTTATTAGCAAGCCTGAGGAGCTGTGGAGCCTCGTAACCAACATCATGGCGGTCATGGTACGATTCCGTCGAGCAGTATTTTGGATATACCGGTCCTGTCTGCGAGTCGTGATGCGAGATCGTCCTCCATGTTCTTCATCCACGCTGCCCGTCATGCGATAGCGCGTCCAGAGGCGACTTATGACGCTCTGTGTAGTGTTAAGAGTGAAAGCCACAGCACGTTGCCTGGAACCAGCTTCCAACATTCCAAAGGCTCGCATCATCACTTCTCGGGTTAAATGATGTCGTCTCTCCATAATAATGTAAATTGTTTCGGTTCCGATGCAGATATTGTAATGATTTTGTCAAAACGCTATAACTCATTTTTATACAAAACCACATTGACAATCGATTTTCTTCTTATTATCGAATTTTAAACAATATTCCTTATTTAAATGTTAAAACTCACTAAAAAGTATCAATAGCGATACAAAAAAGTTAATATAATTAACCCTAATTGCAGCAATACTCTTAAACGTACTTGATCCCTAGACAGTTTTGATGTGTGTATTTACGTGAGAATGTGATGAAAAACATTGTATGAATTACGATCCTCGACTCCGAAAGCTCCGTCTTCGACTTCGAGCTTCTAATAGAGTCTCGTTCTTAATTACGCATGTTCTTAATTACTTATTTAAAGCCCATAATGTACTATTAAATAGATTTTTATGGACAGGCGTGTCGCTTACCACCAGGCGCATGACTTGTGTTCGTCCCGTCACTTGAGAGTATATAAAATAAACTCTTTTAGAAGAATCTCTACTACAGTCTATTTCCGAGTTATGTTCTTGTAATGCTTTTTTAACCGTACAATTTTTGTGTCTAGGTAAAATACCTCAGTTCGTCCTGGACGCGGCATTCGCGACGGTCATGCTGGACTACATCGTGCACTTGAGAAAGTTCGCTGCTAATGCAAAGGCAAAAGGACTTTTCTAGGTGTTTCTATAAAGTTCTAGAACATTCTCGATTGGGAATAAACATGACAGCTAACTCAATAAGGCGAACGACAAGCCGGTGGCTTTGATATTGTGTCTTTCTAGGATCATCTAATTTTCTATTCTATTTGCCTGTCAAATTTCGGTGTTACCATTTTCACTCAATTTGGCAACACTGATCCTGGAAACAAAAGTCAATGTCACCGGGCTGTCCTTTACGCAATTACCTAGCTCATTGATGATACCATTATTATTATTATTACGTATTTCTGAAAACGTAAACAATTTTAAATAATTCAAAGTTGTTTCAATGATAATTATTAGAAATATAAACAAACTGAAATGTCTACGTGTGTCAACTCCAACTGGTTATAACCTTGGTTTGTTTTAATTAACCAATGTATTCTGAGACACACCATGCAAGTATGCAAGTCTGATTCACGCATTGAACGCCTCAAATCGACCAAACTGTCCTAATACATAGGTAATATTGTCGGTGTTTTATGTCGAAGAACTTAGAATAATAACGCGTAGAAACCTAGCCCGCACACGCTAAGTGAGGCAAATTGAAGCGTACCAAAAGGGCCTACGCGAGCGGGCGGGCCGTCAGTGCTCAAGGTCAACTTGCACCGCGAACACATCAAGAAATTTAGCTAAAAATGACGAAATGTGCGGTAAATGACTGTAAAAATACGTCAGACAAACATAAAATAGATACTAACATCACATTCCACAAGGAAGTAACGCGTTTCAACTTGTAGTTTTATATAAATATTCACTAAAACCGAAAATTAACCTACTACTAAAACTAGCCTACATGAATTTGATTTTTGCCTCACTTGTGACAGTTCGTTTGATATGAAACTATCATTCTATGCGTTATTATTTTAAGGTAGTAAGTTTTAAAATTGACTTTAAAACTATCACCTGATTTTTTTAAATGGCGGTTTCGCGCTTTCTATTATAACACCGACGATATAAGAATGTATAAAGTTGTGAATTTTAATGTTGGATAGATAAGTTTTTAATCAACCGAAATCATTGTAACATTCCTGTGGACTCAATCATCAGTTCTTTTTTTGTACCATCAAGAAGTTAGACGAAGGACGAATTGTAAATGTTTCGTCGGCACGGTGAAACAATATAATAATTTATTACATTGACTTACAAATAAATGGACGACGGGTCTAATACAAAAACCACGAAAAAAATGTCCCAAGTCAACCTATTTAAACGTAGTGACATGTCAAGGAATATGAAAAAGCCAAAACGTTGAATTTAAATTGTAATGTCATCGCAGTACTGTCTGATTTTGCTTGCTTCGCTGTCAGTCGAACAAACGAAGACTAGAGCGTGAATGACGCTCTGTATACGATTTTAACGCCCTATAAGTTCGGACACCTTTTAGCGCGGACTCGACGTCCATATAATTGTAAGTCAATGATTTATTATGAACTATTCTGAATTTAGATTCCCCACCAAAGCGCAGCAGTCTTTCTTATTTCACGGCTCGGCACATTAGCTCGCGCAAAATTTTAATAATAATAATTCGTTTATTTGCTTAAAACTTTGTTTAACGGAAGATGTAACTAAAGACAAAGACATTCTGTCCTCCTTGCATTTTATTAACTTTCTAGATATTGGCACTCGGAGATGGACTAAAACCCAATCAACCCGGGTCTTCTTTGTTGGCAACTAAAGTTTTTTCTTTGAAACATGTCAATAACGCTGATTTTGCTTAAGAATAACACTGAAATAAAATAAGATATAACGCAAACCGCTTACAGGGGGTTGTAGATCTTGCTTCGCTGATTGCAGATATTTCACTAACTCACTTTCACTAAAAATGTCGATTACGTTAAATACAATAAGGCAGGCAGAGTACAAACATGTGACGAGTCCAATGAAAGAATGATCAAAGTCACTTGAGGACTGTTGTAGCAAAAATACTACCTGAAATAAAGTCAATGCTGACATAAATGTATGTAACGCTATTTAATCCATTTTAACTAAAAACACTAAACAATACAGTGAATAGCGACATCTCTCGCCAGGACTGGTAGCTGTAAAGGTACTAACTAGGTAAAAACACTAAAAATCATTTTTAACTTTTCTACCATTTAGTCGCAAGCATTTTTATGATTAAATGTGAAACGTGTTTTTTAAGGACATGCAACCTTATTAGCCATTTTCTGATTTAGGCAAATTACGCTCGGCATTTATGGAACTGGATCGCGGTATTAACTAGAAACGTGTTTTAAGGCTTTAAGTGTTGAAGGCTCGCAACCCTCGGGAAACGTGTCAAGTCCCCAACCTGCATTAGGCCAGCGTGGCGGACTATGACCTAAACCCTCGTCTGAAAGGAGACCCGTGCCTAGCTGTGGCACTTTAAAAAGGGTTGATGATGATGATGTGTTTGAAGTAACTTTGACAATTCTTTCCCTGGTCTCTTCATGTTTAAAGAGCATGTAAAATGCTGTAAATCAATGTTGTAAATAAAATTTTCTCCCACAGACCTGTCATAATGACCTCGGCTTTCTATTAGATGGTGTTTTATTAGGAGATTTAACAACTCTATCGTCGCTTAACAAACACACCGCTTAACTAATTTCAAGTAATTTTATAGGAGCGTGAAAAACCTGCATATTATTATTGTATAAAAGATTTTATATACAATAATATATTATTATTTCATTTCATATATTATTTCAAAAAAAATAAAGGAAATGTATAATACATAGTTATAAGGATTTTCTATGTACGCATTTGAAATAAAAAATATTGTAATTATTAAGCTATATTGGAGGGGGTAAGAATACAAAGTAATACCATTTATGTAATTTTATTTGAAATAACCAATAGTCGGAAAAACGTGTTCCACGTTATATAGATACATGTATCAGATACAGCTATTGTTACCGATATGAAGTTAACCACCAAATATTAATTAATTATTTTTTCGAATTCCGGATTTCCGGAAATGGTTTTACTGCATCGTAAGACAAAACTACTGTCCTAGGAAGTCGAAGTTACATTTTAAAGTAATTCTAATGGTGCCATGTAAAAGAATGCAGTAGATAACTAACCTTATACCAAAGCAGAGAGTAAAAAGTAGCGAGAATGGTCACTCTCCGCCCCTCCTTGGCTTTAAATACCGCATCAAGCCCCGCGTATTGACGGTCACATTGACGGAAGTGCAATAAGGTTGTCAGTTATCTTTAAATCACTATTAGAATTAGTTTCAAATCCAACTTCGACTTTCTGGGTCAGTAGTTTGTCCTATACCATTTCCAGAAATCAAGCAGTAATGTCAGCATTACTGTGTTCCGGTTTTGAAGGGTAAGGGTGCTGGAGAAATTACAGGCCCGTGGCACTTGTCAACTTATGTCTCAGGGTGAGAGGCGCGGTGGTAGTGCCCTTCAGATCTTCGCAATTTAAAGCTCTTGAGTGGCGCTGTAACTGTTATGGACAGGCGTGTAGCTTATCACCAGGCGCACGACTTGTTCGCCCCGTCACTTGATGATAGAAAAAAAATCCAGAATTGGAAAAAGTAACGTGTTTTGACAACTCAATATCGCTGCTTGTAACTATGTCTATACATGTATCTATAATATGTGGAACACCTTCCTCCGACCATTGGAGATAACGCACATTTTTTATACTAGTTGGTAATAGGAAATAATGCTTCGTATCTATGTATTAAGTGACAATGCAGGGCACGGGTCACCTTTATCGAAAGGGTAATCTAGTCCATTAGACGGTAAGGCATTAAGTTTATCAATGTATCAATACATTTATACGTACCACGCAAGGGTGTAATCTCAGGCTAGGACTTACGCTGTAGTTCGCTACGTTTTCTGAGGATTGTGAACATATTACAGGTTCCATCCCAATGTTTTCCTTCTCCTACAACTTATAAGCTCACATCCTTTTTCGAGTATGCTCTGTACATTAAACCATACAACTTTTTACACTTTTAACTTTATTATACACTGTTCTCTGGACGCGAATGGCATGAGAATTGAATTTAAAAAGTATCAAATTCGACGTGTTTTTTTAATATTGTTGGCATCGAGTATATAATAAGAAATAGAGACAAAATAATGGTCATCCATCCCTTTTTTTCATCAGGCAAATGGATCTTATATCACTTTTATATATCAACTCTCGTTTGCACTGAAATCATAAATTAGAAAGCTGAAATAGTACAACGCCAACAACTGACCTGTGTGTATTTATTGTAATAAAGATAATATCTCTAACGAATGGGAGCTTTTACGTTCGCTGGTGTGGAAAAAACATCAAAACATCTAGTATTTATTTATTTCGTTGATGAAATACTTTAATGTATTGATATTATTTTCATTCATATATTTTTTTAATAAAAAATGACTGGTGTTTGTATAAGCTTAGTACAAGGAAGCGTTATAATAAATTATGTACTTTTAATGTAAAAATATTTTCATATTTGTAGAAATAACATAAATTGCATATAGAATATAAGTGATATAAATATATAAATATTTTTTTCACACTGTTTTAGTTTTTTTTAACCGATTTTATAAAAGGCGGAGGTTCTCCATTCGTTTGTATTTTTTTGTGTGTACGCGATATTACCTACCACGGAAGAAATTTATGTGGTATGGGACTCCTACATTAGTGAACCAATTTCGATGACACTTTTTTGTTGAAAAGGTCCACTTCAGTGGTGTTCCTATTCAAATTTGAAGAAGATATTCCAATTCCAAGGGTGGTCAATTCGGTGGTCAACTTTTCATATAGATGTGATTCCAATGAAACTAAAGTCAAAGTCAAAGATTATTTATTCCATAGGTAAAATAAATTTACACTTGAAATCGTCACATTTAAGCTACTGCTCGTTCACTACGCTGATCTTCCTGAGAAGAACGAGCAAGAAACTCTAGGGATTGCTCTTTTCAAATAAACTTAAATGCTATGGAATACACTTTGAATGAAATTTGTGTGGATTCTGGAGCCATGTCGTCTTTCCATACATCTTTATCTAACACGTAGTCTTCAATTTTGTAATATGATTTTTCGATCAAAATATTTTTAATGTAGTTTTTAAACTTAGGATTTGATAAACTTAATATATGCTCCGGAATCTTATTGTAAAAACGTATACAGTTCCCCATAAAAGAGTTGTTTACCTTGGTTAAACGAAATCGCGCATAAAACAGCGCAAACCGATATAAGGAAGTTTTTGAGGTTAGTTTTTTGCGTCCGTCAAGATGGCTGGAGCAAACGAGATACACAAATCAAACCGTGCATGGATTTTTTACTATTTAGTACCTTTATTGACATATATTCTTGAGCGCTAACGGAAATATTAAAGAAATAAAGTGGTCAACCATTTTGACGTGACGGCGGCGGCCCACTTCGTTTTTCATGGTTCTGGCAGTATAAAATTTA